TCTATGCTGTCTAATTCATTGTTGTTATGATTCTATGTTGTCTAATTCATTGTTGTTATGATTCTATGTTGTCTAATTCATTGTTGTTATGATTCTATGTTGTCTAATTCATTGTTGTAAGATTCTATGTTGTCTAATTCATTGTTGTTATGATTCTATGCTGTCTAATTCATTGTTGTTATGATTCTATGTTGTCTAATTCATTGTTGTAAGATTCTATGCTGTCTAATTCATTGTTGTTATGATTCTATGGTTCTATGTTGTCTAATTCATTGTTGTAATATTCTATGTTGTCTAATTCATTGTTGTTATGATTCTATGTTGTCTAATTCATTGTTGTTATGATTCTATGTTGTCTAATTCATTGTTGTTATGATTCTATGTTGTCTAATTCATTATTGTTAGAATGTTTTTCATTTCTTATTCAACGTTTTTATGGTTCCGTGGCACATTGTACAACACGTTCATTTGCTCTGTGTTTTTCAATATCTTTGTTGTTCTGTTTTGTCTTTTCTCAACATGTTAGCTTTGTGTTGCCTTACATAATATTATTAAAATTCTATATTATTCCTATTTAATATTCTTGTAGTTTTATGTTGTCTTATTCAACTTTATTTCAAGTGTGTGTATGTTTATTTTGGTCAGCATCCAAATACATCGCGTAATAACCCTCATTAACGACCTTAAAAGAAACATAACATCGTATCCTTTAAAACAAAAAAAAAGGGTGTTTTGTTACCTGTCTGTGATCTTGATCGTTTTCAGTTTACAATACCGTTATTGTTCTGTTTTGTCTTTTCTCAGCATGAAAGAGTAAAACAATCATTTCTTACTGTGTATGCTGACGATTTCAGTGGTTCTTGTCATATGCTTTATCTAAATTACATTTCTTATAAAGAAACCACTGGTAGTCAATCTTTCACTTGGCAGTCAACACAGTAGTGACTGAAGTATCTGTTAGATCTAGGCAGTACCTTTTATGATCTGTAAGTTTTTAGGTAGACTGACAAATTATCTAAAGAAGGAGGTACCTGAACTTCTGTTTAAGCCTAAAAAAAACTCGTGACTCACACAAAGACATCTTTATTTCTAGGCAAGTGGACGCTTTCCAACTCCTATTGATGCCGAGCGTGAAATACTTTATATTGAAGAGATACTTAACTGTTTACAAAGTAGGTTTCTTGTGCGCAGAGGCAGAGTATTTAGTCTCAGTGATAATAATGAGCCTAATAGTTGCAAGAAATAGTCGCACATAAGACCGAGCGAATTTAATTCTCCTCAAGAAGAACACTCTTGGCTTAAGTGCTCTCAACCACACTATTTTTTTTAATACGAATAGACACTAGGTAAATAAATATACACCCTTATAATTGAATACTGCTTCCCATATATTTCATTTAGGGAATTTGTAAGTAATAAGTTAAGCCTGAAGCATGATTACACTCGAGTTACTACGATCATTAATACCTTCTAATCAAAGCAAGCCAACTGCATATATATATATCAAAACTAAACATATCAGGATAAATAATGTATCAAATTCTATATGCCAGTCTACCTAGGAGTATGTAGTGTCATAAAAGAAACCACAAAAATATGACTAATACGATTAGAGGGCAATGCTTTATCAGTTGTGCTCTCTCGCTATTATCGATATTTTCGGCCATAATCCCAGTAATATTTCGCAAAGTTATAATACGTATGTTACGCCTACATCTATAAATACTAATCTAAAAATAACCTTCATAAAACTAAAAGATAAGAAGGAATTATCAATAGCCGCGGCTGTAATTAGATCTCAAATCCTTCAAGAGATGGAGCTATGAGCTAAAAGTTTGTACTTTAAAAAAAACAAAAAAAACAACTCAGACCATTCTGTGAGCCGCTACGCCGCGACTAAAATTAAAATTATGTTAATTCATGAGAAACAAAATTGCAACCACAATATGAACATCCTGACTTTTAGAGGTACTGGTAGAAGTAAGACCCAAATTACAATGGGGGTACATCGTCTTTCCAGTTTAACCTCAACTTCGCTGTGCTCACATAATTAAGAAGAGGAAAAAAGAAATTTTGAGCAGATGTGGGTGCTCTAGCCCAGTGATTCTCAACGTGGGCCACGCCATGTTTCTAAGGGGCCAAACGTGAATGGCAAAAAATTAAGGGGCCACAGTAAATTCTGAATGGGCCACCAAAACTTCACTGCCCGAATAAAATATTTCAACAGCCCAAGCTAGATTCAAACGTGACAAATATTATTTCTGAATAAGTTTCCACAGCTCTGGGAGGAGGCAAAGTTTTATTTTATCGCTATTTTCCCACATCTTATCTGGTTGAATCAGGTTTTAGTTGGGTGACTTATTTTCTATCAAAAATACGCAACCGCCTTGATGTTGTGAAGAGAGGTGATCTTCGCTTATAATAAGCAAACCGACGCTAAGTGCACTCCTTCCCCATGCACACAACGGTCAATTTATAGAGCGGGAAGACACAGATTAGGCTAACGATCATTTATTCTATATAACAAACTAATTAGGAGTGTGTACTGTCATAAAACAGATTACAAGTAAACAGGGGTGATTTTATGATTATAAGTTTAACATAAAAATAGCCCATTCGTTTTCAATTCTTCGCCAGCTTTCACGTTCAAGCTGTAACTTATTATAAAATTGCTTAGGCCATTTCCAGTAATCATTGCTATAATAGTGCTTACTATGAAAACCCTAGTAAGGCCAAAATACATTTACTAGCACCTAATATAAATGTTTCTTACAAAATACACGACCGCTTTTCAAATTAAACACTAGCATTTAATATTAACAATATATAAAATAAACCTGGAATTACTAGCAAAGGCAGAGAAGTATTTTAACTATAGGTAAGTTGAAATTTATTGAGGGATTATTCAGAGCAGCTATAAACTATATCAGTTTCGAGATTCAGTAAAGCTCCTGGTTGGAGAATTAACTGTATAATGTGCAGGATGGTTGTAATTAAGTAGTCCATTAATCGAACGGAGGAACGAATGATGTAATTGAATTAATATGTTTCTTCTTCGAATAAAACAATTAGAACAGACAACCTTACGAAAGTATTTAATTTTTCGTACACTAAAACAGCGTATCATTAAAAAATAGTAGTTTTTGTTATATACAAAAATAGATAGAAAACTATCCCTTAAAAAGTAGTTCCTGCTTCCTATAAGAAATAGGACACTCTAGCCTTTAAAATGTGGGGTTTCTGGGTCAAAAAACAGAATGCTATAATCCTTCTCCGTACAAGAAACATACCAGTATATCTTTAAAATATTAGTTCCTTATCCGTGCAAGAAACATAGCACCATAAACTTAAGAAAGTAGTTCCTTATCTGTACAAAAAACATGCCAGAATACCCTTTAAAAAATCAGTTATTTATCCGTGCAAGAAACAGAGCACCATAAACTTAAGAAAGTAGTTCCTTATCTGTACAAAAAACATGCCAGAATATCTTTAAAAAATCAGTTATTTATCCGTGCAAGAAACAGAGCACCATAAACTTAAGAAAGTAGTTCCTTTACGAAAAGTAAAAAATATATATAGAACATCATAGCCTTAAGAAAGGAATTCATTTTTATAGAAGAAAGTAATCGTTTTTTTTTCAAAGAAGGAAAATTAAAATAGTCCAAACAAAGAACATGACATCATAATATGAAAAAAAAAGAACACTACGTTCTCGTCTCAAGAAATGTTATTCTTCCAAAAACCAAAATCACCGCTCTTTTAAAAACAAAAGTAGTTCTTGTTCCGTAAAAGTAGTAGTCACCCTTTATAAAAAGTAGTCCCTTTTGCAAAAAAAAAAGAATAAAACCCTGTAATTTTAAGAAAGTATGCTGTGGCCATAGGAAATTAGTCCCTCTAGCAACGGAAAAAAACAAGCACAATCGAAACTGCCTAATAATTGCAGATCCGAAATATTTATGTTTTAAAATTTTACCCTAACTACTTAGTCATTGTAGATCCAAAACCTTTATAATTCAAATCCTTACCCAAGGTCTAATTTTTTTTCCTTCTTTTTTTTTTCTGTAGAATTTCTGTAATCCACAGAACTGAAGAATGGGTAATTCAAACTCTAGGTCAGTCACCTTACCCCGGACTCAGTCTTCTGTCTCTTCGATGTTACAGAAAGATGATGCTTATATCCGAAACATGTCAAAGGTCCGGGTATTTCCACAACCTCCAGGTAGCCAAATGTTGCGGGCTACAGAAAACGGCATATTTCTCCAAAACGAAGGCACCATAACTGGAAAGAAAGCACAAAGGTCTGTGAAACAAGCGACTGGTGACGTTAACCCAGAGCTTGTAGGTCTTCTCCACAAGCGACTAAAGTTACAAGAAGCCTACTATCGTGATTCGTCTGTTAGACGAGGTTTCTTCGGATCAAATAAAGCATACAGCGATCCAGATATTGTACATAGTATGTTGAACTGGCACGATCTTCTGGATGGCGAAAAGGATGAGGTCAACAGTATATACAATTCCAGAAGCCTCATTGCTCTAAGTCCTAGTGAAGCAAAAATTAAAGCCAGAAAGAAGTCGCAAGAATTTGGGCGGTTCAATTCAAGTAGTCTTCCTCGAGATTTCAACAGCACGCATCATCTTGACACAAGAAGAAATGTTGATCAGTTTAACAGTCACAAAAAGTCATTCTTTTCAAAACTGCGAAATAATAATAAAAATGAAAAGAAGAAAGACGTTCCCGGGTGTGTGCAAAATCCAGTCATTCCTACACCTGATTATAGCACGGAATCCGAGGAGCCAAAAATTGAAGATGGTGACGATAAGGGGTATTATTCTCAAGAATTCAGAGTAGAATCTCGAGTGAGAAATAGCTACAACGAAAATGGGAAAAACAAAAAAACGAAACGTAGTTTATACGATCTCAATAAAAAACACATGCGCGATGAAGATGCAAACAAAGCAGGAGTAGAAACCTATTCGAGCGTTAGTACAAATTCAAAAAAACAGACACAATATGAAGCTTTTAATAAAGAGTTATGTACAAACTTCATAGAAGATATTCCACAACGTTCAAACTGTTATCCAAGAAATCAGAATTCAGCCTTCTCAGAGAGCCAGATTAACAGAATACAGGAAGAAAGTAAAACTAATTTTGATCCCAGAATAGCACCGAGTTTTGTTAAAGTATCAAGTCAACCAGTAATACCGTTTAAATCAGAGACAACAAATTCATCTTGTCCTCAGACCGTGACTACAAACAATAAAGATTATATCTCATCTTTTGATTACCAAGATAAATACCATACTTCAGAAGTTACTAATAAGGTGAACGTAAAATATCGAGATAAACCTTTAGCTCACATAAAAAACATGTCATTTAAACAAAATCAATGTTTACCAGTGCAACAAAATCAATGTTTACCAGTGCAACAAAATCAATGTTTACCAGTACAACAAAATCAATGTTTACCAGTGCAACAAAATCAATGTTTACCAGTGCAACAAAATCAATGTTTACCAGTGCATGTCTGTGGGATATATAGTTCTGCAGTCAAAGAAAAATCTCAACTGAACTTGAAGAACCGGTGTGGTCAAGCGAGTCCTTATCTCAATGCTTCAGGACTGTCCTCCGAATCAAGCCTGTCTGATGAAGAAGATATAAAGATTAGTGTGAAACTCAAACCCATTTTACCACGGAAACAGCTCCAACTGCCACGTTTCTCGCCGACTGAAGCCTGGAGATCTTTATTCTCTGACGCCCAGCAGTCAGGAGCAAGCAGCGAAGGAGAGGAAGAGGTAAAACTACACCAAATTAACAGACCTATGGCTCCACCTAGACTTTTCACAGATCGTTGTGGAGATTCCGGAATTTCCCCAGATGCTGGAAGTCCAGCATTAATGAATGATACTTTTGAAGTTTTGTTTTCTGATAGTAAACAATGGAAAAGTCTTCAAAATGGGCCTTTACTCTCTGAAGAAATACAAGAATCTTTTACTTTCAATAAACAACACGATCCAGTGCAATGGACTCCTGCACAGGACTTGGATGATTCAGAAAGAGAGAGCGAAGAGAGAGAATTTGAAGGTGTTATTTCTGCAACTCCAATTCAACCCAAGCCAGCTTTTCTAAACAACTTGTGTACTGATCATTATATTTCACGAAATATTACCGAATCTAACGGAATAAACGTGCCACCGTGTGGCTCACCAGAACCAATGCACATTAAAAGCGACGACAAATATAATAAAACTAACAAGAAAAATCAACAACACTTCAACAGTCTACGCAATCTAAAAAAAGCTTTCGGATTTCGAGGTAAGCTCTCAACTTTAGAATGCGTTAATAACGTAGATTCAAACTGGCACCTCAGTCGTAGTGTACCCGATAACATTGATAACACCGAAAAATCTGAGATTTCGAATCTAGATTACAGACATTTGGAAAGAAGTTGTCCGGGATCTCTGGTAGACAATCCTGACAAGGAACTGCAACAAGGTAAGCTGATTCCACACAGTGAGAAAGAATGCATGATGTATCTACCAGGGTATGGTGTAACATGCATGGAGAAACACAGAGACAATGTCAAAACTTCGACACTTCAGAAGGAAACAAAACCAATTCATACTAAAAAGAAAAATAAATTTACATTCCAGGGCACTTTTCGAAAAGAAGAGAAACGTAGATTAGAAGAAAAATTAATAAATGAGGTTGTAGAAAAGGAAAGACTGCGTGAGGCAGAAATGGAATGGATGAGTAGGGTTGAGGAAGAATTTCGAAAACAGCGAGACACGGAAAAGCTTAACCTACGAAGTCAGTTACGAGTTTTGAACCAACATTCTTCAGTGTATGAACCACAGAAGGATAATTCTTTTCGCAACTTTAAGCCAAGGAACGAATTGCGACCTGATTCTCAGAATCTTAACTGTTTTTCAGAATCCGGTAGTCTGTCAGTTAGCAGTGAGAAAACCAAAGGGTATGAAGATGGCAACACAACTAATGAGCATTACTACGCCTCTGTGGATGATCCAAGAATTAACAAAAGGCCTACAGGAATGGGTAAGTGGATGCTTCGCAACCAACATGTAAGTGTTAATACACCAGACCCATTAAACATTTCTCAACAGGTTAGAGACAAAATGAAATCTGTTGACTTGTACAAACATGAGCATCAACTAAAACCACTGTATTCTGAGGCTATGAACAAAGACCGGTTAGAAAGCCAGCTACACCGAAAAGACTTTAGGAACAGCACAAAGGTATCTGATGTTTATATGTTTCATCCTTCAGACGCAAGACAAGTAATAAAATTAGAAAAGTCAAAGAATCTTTACTTACCGCACACAGCTAGGAACGACAATATAAACGATAAAACGTTAAACCCGACATACGTTCAATATAACAGAAAAGAGGATTCCCCGTATTTAAACTCACCAACGAATATCGTTTCTCCTAGTAGAGTAGAAAGAGAGAATAGCCTGACTAAAACCTCATTGGACAGTTTCGACCTCTCTTCATCTTTAAGCACAAATCGTGATAGACAGTTACCAGAGTCAAAAAACAATTTCAGCAGAAGAAACAACAGGAATTCAACACTCGACTTCAATGGTTTTACCGAACCTCACTCTGAAAAAATGTTTACAAGGATTAACCGCATTGATTGGATTTAACAATCATAGCCTTTGCTGTAAAACTGAAATCCCAAGGTAATTCTAGCGATATTTATTTCATATTACAGCATTTGTTTTGTATCAGTGATATATTTACTCAACAAGAGTATCCTAACTACCGAGACATTTGAATCTGTAACTTAATGTAACAAATAAATAGCTCTTGTTTTAAGTTCTATTTCCAAAATTTTATAAATTAATCTCGAAATCTTCTGTAAACAATGTCTGTATTTATGTTTACCTTAGTTTTATTTTAACTATGCACTGGATACCTAAATATACTGCAGCTTTAGTTCGTTAAACTTAATTATATCGAAAGAAGTTTCTCTTCAGTACAATCGAATGTTCGCTAGGGCACTCTCTAAAATTCTTGTCACTTTCATCAGATTCAATGATCGTGTGTAATTAACGTCCGATAATCTATGGATTGATCACACAACGATATTAAGAACAGTACGTTTAAGTTAGGCCTACCAATGCAATGGTATAGTATACAAAACTAAACTTAAAATTAGCGTTTTATCCCTTACGCCGGATGTGGCCCAGAGGTCAGCTTGTGGTTCGCGTTTCATTGGCGAAGAAAATACGCTTCCCACTATTTAGCTGTGGGTGCTTTATAAAATTGACGGCAAAACTCAGTTTCCTATTAGTGTAGTCTAAATAAGACTTGGTGGTCGATAGTGTTAATTATCTGTTTTTCCCTCTAGTTTGTCAGTTAGGGACAGCTGCCCTTAAGTCTTTGTACAAATATCCGAAACAAATCAAACGTTTTATCTCAACAGGTTTATCAGTACGATTGATCGTGTGAATGTTAGACATTACTAAACTTAAAATAAGTTACATTAATAAGTCTTTTATATTAGTAGGCCTAATACTGAGTACCAGTGCGATCATAGGCCTACGTGCTGTCGGCATAACTAAACTTAAAATTACTTAAATTAAAAACAGTGTATTTTAATAAAACTGTTATATCATTAAGCCTATTGAGTATCAGTGTAATCCTAGGCATAACTAAATTAAAAATCAGCGACATTAAGAACAGTAGTCCAACCAGATAGATCCTGTATAAGTATAAGGTAGATATAACCAGTGATAATGATACTACGAACAGTATGTTTTATCTTATTAAACCTACCAGAAAGATCCTGTATACGGTAGATAGTTAATCTGAATTAACCTACGAGCCCGATGTATGTATAATAACTAAGATATAACTAACGTTAGTAACTACATAAGTGATAAAAGTAGTGACATTCAAAACCATTGTGTTCGCAATTGACCTACAACTTACAAGTACGATCGGTATATATACGATAATTAGTAACTTAAAATCAATTATATGAAGAACAGCATTTTTATTTCAACAGGCCTACCTCTGCCACTGTGTGTGTGGTAGACAAAACTTGTCCTGAGAATAGTAAAGACGCAACGTCATCACTGAATCCTGACAGCTCATTCCTCCGAACCAACAGCTTGAGAGACTTTGAATTTGAGCTCAAAGAAGAATGGCGTAAAGAAATAACGTTAAAACTTGAAATATATTTCCTAAGGATATCAAAGAAAGAGCTTTTACGACTGTGGCTATTTTTGGGAACAGTAGTTTCAATAAAGTTTGCTAAAAAGAGTTTTTATCTGATTATACCAGATGATCGAGAACCATTACAAAATTGGCCGAGCAATGGCTAAAAAGGCCTAATAAACGAAAACTTGTTGTAGGTAACCAAGGAAACTAATGGTAGAGTTCACGCAGTACAGGCATTCTCTGATTCTACTTACGCTGTCTCCAGTTGATAGTTAAGTAAATACAAATATATTCTAGATGTACTTGCGCAGGGTCCCCGAAAGTGTTCTCTTTCAAGAGTAAATAAAACCAAAATTAAGAGTAATAAATATTTTTATTTCTTGCTTTTTAAGTTCATATGTCATGCTGGATTGTAGAAGAACGAGTGCATAATGTTTCTCGTGATTCGTGTTATGCGCACATTTTACTAATGTCACGACAATACAAGTTGCAACGTTAAGTGTCCCTTATGTGACGTCATTTTAGTATCTACTGGCTTCCAGACAGACAACACACTACTGTATGGTGGTACGAAAGGTTAAAACAGGTGAGCCCTCCAGACGATCTTCAACCCCCTTTCGGGGAAGAAAAAAGTGCCAATTATTGAGCAGTAGCCTGGTAAAATTTTCTGAAGACGGTCCACGGTATAATATTAATGACAGTACTGTAATTTTTATTACAGTAAAAACAAAAGAAAAAAAAATAGAAAGGTATAAAAGCTTTAATATTGTTGTTATTTTGTATCTGGGAGGTTTCATCGGTATTTATTGATTAAAATCACAAGCACTAAATATAAAGTGTCTACGTAATACTTTGTAAGGATTCCAAAATTAACAGTAAGTACAGAGTCATTTTTGCTGTTCAGATACAGAAAATATCTCACGGATTTTATTACTTAAAATTATGAAAATAAAACGGTCAATGTATGTATATTATTAGCAGAGACCCGAAAACGTTTGCGGTCAGATTCGCATCTTTATTGCAACAATATTTATTTAAATATAGGATTTCTAGAATAAAAAAAAATTCAAATCGCAGACGCTGAAATCTAATAAGTCCACTTGTCTTAGGCCTAACATTAGTTAATCCTTTATTAAGTACGGCCAATATTCGATATTAAGAGATAAATTAACACTGTAGCTCGTATACGTTTTCTGCTTTAGTTTGGTTAGGGTTAAACTTTACCGACCTTAATACCATCAATAAATAAACGCATAATGTTATTTTACGACCTAATGTCAAATCTTTTTTTAAAAAATTTTGATAAGCTTTCAATATATTATTGTAGATAATATATACTAAAGTATATTTACATCCGCCTTTTGTTTACATCCATTGAAATAAATGCGCGCGCATGCATATTTAGATAGTCAGGTGCGCACGCATTTTCAGAACTGACAAAAACTGAGTATTATTGTAATATATTTAAACTTTAAAAGACATTGACTGCTAATAAGCCAGTTCATCGAACTTTGTTAAGCATAAGCTTATTTGATACGTGTAATAATAAGAAAATGTTTATGACTAATATTGTTGTTATCATTTATTAAGAATGTTTCTAGGCACCAGCAACAGATAATTTTAATTATGTCTCCCTCGTATTTCTGTCCAACAGTTACAACTGGACGTCACTCCCTTATTTCTTGGCCGATCGCCCCGAAACTTGGAGGGAATATAACTTGGCTCAATATGTCCAGATTATTTATATATATATATATATATAGGCTACCACCACAATTTTTGAGGGTTAAAGGTCAAACATTATAAAGACACATATTTTGGCCTCCATAATTCAACTGAGCCTTAGCACAAAAATATCTTGCGACAATCCCCATACGCTACATCAGACAGATTTGTAATTTGTGCTTTTCATTTTATTTTAATGGGGTCAAAGGTAAAAACAATTGCAAAATTAAGGGTATTGGCCTGGTATTCCTTTAGGTTTCGTCCAATCTAGATCAAATTTTGCATAAAGATAACTTGCGACAACCTCTAGAAACATAAGTAAACAAATCTGGAATTCTGGCCTTTCTTTTGATTTGACAAGGGGTAAAGGTAAAAAAAAAAAAAATACACAGTGTACGTCATAGGGAGTTCTGAACCCAGAAACATTGTCTACATACATAAACGTGGAAGTGGGTGTTATTAATAGTTTTAATTCACACAATGCATAAAATTGCATCTACCGCATAGAAGAACAGATCTTATTTTGCCCCAAAATTTCTTGTAAAGTTTTTATCTTTGTGAATAAGTATAGTTACATAGAAACTGACCGTTCTATGTATCATATGGTCACAATTCAGTATGCCCCAATTCACCTTTCTTACAGAAAAGTTTGCAATTTGATACTGTGTTAAGTGCTTAACCCTTTGAAGTATATTTATTGTAACTGATGCCCCTTCCCTACCTTAAACATTACTCTCTCTTGTAATCTACTGTATTCTGAGGATCATATCGAATAAGGTGGATGAGAGAGACATGTTTGCATTCGATAGCAGATGTTGGCCCTCTAGTGTTTACTTACTTGCTTTAAAGAATCAATTCAAGGTTATACGATAAACTTACAAAAGTCGCTTGAGATGTAAACTGTTGATTTTCAAATCTGTTTCCGGCGGAACTCTAAATCAACTGTTCATTATACGGAACTAAACAGTGATTGCTAGTAGCATGAAACACCATTTCAAGACGGATATATTGAAAGTTTAGTTCTGCTCTTTTTTTCTGAAAAATTCTAATATATGTAATGAAATTTTGAGTTTCTGAGATTAAATTTAGGAACCTGTGTTACGTCATAGTTCAGAATAGTAAGCATAATTTTTATGAATAAGCTACTATATTTCCCAGCTTTCGTTAACACAGGCCTTTAATATACTGACGTTCAGTGCAACGAGAAAGAAACAAGCTTTTCTTTAACTTAAACTTTATCACCTTTCAGCTCGGCTATTACTTACTGGCTGTTTCTCTTCGTAAAACATTTTCATACTTTGTACCTTGACCACCAGGATTTGTTTACGTTATACGTCTTAACGTAAAAAACAGATTTCACTCAAAAGTTAATATGAAATATGCCATTAACATTATTACAATCATCCTTATTGTAAACTAAAATTAAGATTAATTTTTGTTCAATCAAAACCAATTTTAAAACATAAGCTTGAACAGGATTTAGAATTTTATTATACTTATGAAGTATTTTAATATTTACACTAAACATTTCGAAACGATGAAATTATTTTACAAGAACCATAAATAGCATGTTTTCATAAATATGCTAGCTGGAGTACCCGTTCGTTGGACGGGTGAAATAAAAACTCGTTTGTAACAAAGGATATGAAATTGTGCTTCTATTTTTTTTTCTTAACATAATAAACATTAAAAGTGCAATAAAAATACGTAAAGATACCAATACTGAAAAGAAAGACATAGTGTTTTCAAGAATTCTATCGAGATGAAATCTGATGGGGTCCATCACCCCCCTCATGTCATCCTGTACCACTGTGTCAAGTTTGGTGCTGATTGATCAAGAAATGTGGAAACGTATAAGGAACAGTTATAAAATGAGATATACGACCGTGTATTTTTTTTCCCGGACACACACTTTTGCTTTATATGGTAGATATATATTAACAAGTTTGTTTTTTTGTTATTTTACTGTAATGGTTATTATTGCCATCCACTTTATTTAATAATAGTGACAGGATATATATTAAATCTTTTTCCAACAATTTGTTCAACATCCATAACTCTGACATATTAAAAGTGTACAAAGTTTGTAAATAGTATAGATTTTCTGAAAAACTTCCAAAATGTGACAAAATACATATACAATAGTTGTGTTTATAACAGTGATGTAATATATATATATAAAGATATGTTTAATAGAAATAAATTTGTTTTTTAAGTTGCATGAATAACTGAAATTCAAATTAAATTAAACTCTGCGTTGGTTCAACTACTTTACTAATTACCTAATTGTTACTTATCCACTAATCAACAGATTGTCACTGATTTTTACAATATTTCTCGAACCAACTGATAGTTTCCTAAAAGTGGTAAAAATAATCCATTTATAAGCTAACGGTTACCTATTAAAATTCTTCTATTAATCAACTGGCACTTAATTAGCAGTTGTCTATTAATCAAATCATTATTACCGATTACAATTTCCCATTACTCAAATGACGTTTAACTAGTAGAAGTTGTACACTAATCAATTTTTGTAACAAAAGAATTTTGGGGTATTTATGTTGGACCTTAAAACGATGCTATCAATAAAAAATATTTAATATTCTATCGTGTGGAATAGGCCCGAGATTGTGTTTTAGTTTGTTTGTTTTTGAATTTCGCGCAAAGCTACACGAGGGCTATCTGCGCTAGCCGTCCCTAATTTAGCAGTGTAAGACTAGAGGGAAGGCAGCTAGTCATCACCGCCCACCGCCAACTCTTGGGCTACTCTTTTACCAACAATTGAACGTCACATTATAACGCCCCCACGGCAGAAAGGGTGAGCATGTTTGGTGTGACGGGGATTCGAACCCGCAGATTGCGAGTCGAGTGCCCTAACCACCTGGCCATGCCGGGCCTGTGTTTTAGTACTGACTACCTGTTAATCTTTCGTACCGGTCATCGTTCATTGAAAATAATAAAAAAGGAAACGAAGCTACGTGCATAATTTTAGAAAGTTTAATAATAAATTTAAACTTCATATAAATTGATTAATTTCATTCTTTCTATACGTGTCATTTAAGTGAGTAAACAATACAAACTTTATTAAGCCTAAGCTTGCAAACTAACACTTTTTTCAGTCTAAAAGGTTAGGCTTAATAACGTTTTACATACTTTATTAAGCCTAAGACTGCAGACTAACAAACTTTTTTCAGTCTAAAAGCTTAGGCTTAAAAACGTTTTAATCTTTTACCATTATCAATTTGTTCAAGCATTCAAATAAGCGACATACCTTCCTGCTTAATATCGTTATTCACCTTAACTTTTTCTTCTTTTTTTTATTGCGACAATGCTACTCGTATTTATTTGTTGTGAAAACATTAGACGGACTAATTAAGAACAGCAGTGTTTTATCTTCTAATCCCCTCGCTTCACAACAAGATTCATATTTGTAAAAAACAATTGATACCTCATTCACACTATTGAATACTGTTCTTTGAAAACCTGTTAATCACATGATTTCGAGTGAAAAAAATGTTCGTAATGTTTACATTAAAATGTTTGAATAAGACAACCTTACGCTGGTTAGGTTAATTTAATTTAATTTTATCTTTACCTTCCAAATAAAAATCTAACGCCTCATAAGACGCTAAGCCTTAG